TCCCCCCATGTCAATCCCAATCACGAAGTTCTAAAGTCCTGACAAAGAGGGATGGGTCCCAAAGCTACTGCCTGCTGTAGTACTATCACAGTGATGCTGACAGCTAGAGGGGAAAAAAATATTCTTTTTCTGCTCGACTGACACACGAGTTCATCCCTTTCCCTCAAACATCAGAAAGGCCTCTTTAGCAAAAGCTGACATGAAACCCTGCTGTGCAATTCTGCTCTGCACAGGCCAGCTGCTTTTGAAGGTCTGTGGGGGTGTGAAAGTGCCAGTTAAGAGCTTCTCAGATCAGGCAGGATTTTCCATAAAGCCTCTGCATCTTCTGTGCCTCCTGCAGTAGAGCCAAAAAGTGACACCAGGAAGGGAAGGGGATGAATTCTGCCCACTGCTGTGTAGGTACACCTGGAGCTGGACAGTGTTTTTAACACCATATATCTTACCAGGCCAGTGCATGGCAAAAAAACCAAGATTCTGATGATCCACTGAACACCGCCCTAATCCCTACCCTGGTAAAAGAGTAGTAGTAGTTGTCACATTTTCAGGGCCTAGAGGGGGAACTGATCATAGTATGGGTGCACTCCACCTATTAATACAGGGTATCACTGAGCCATGGCTTCATTTTTGCATCTGCGGTGCCCAACATGCAACACTTCTGCCCAGCACGGCGGTGTGTGCCAGGACTGGGCCAGGCAGGGCTCTGTCCCGTCCCAGCGCCACTGGCAAGGATACCTTGCAACGCTTTCCCACCTATGTCAGGCTGAGCGGAGGCCCTGAGGAGTTGAGGGAAGAAGGATAAATCACCACCCCAGGCTGCCCTGCGGGAGCAGCAGCTCCCTGACAATCCTTCCAAACTTCCTGGCAGCTCTCCCCGCCGCCTCTCCTTCCAGCTCTGTGTCGCCGCAATTCCATGGGCTCAGCATCCCAGCCGGGGTTTTTTCTGCTCCCCGAAACGCTGCCACTTCCCTTCCCTTCCCGAGGCTCTGCGCATCCCGCAGCCCCGGCCCTGCTCCCGCCGAGGGTCAGGCATCCTCCAGCCAGCGCCCGCCGCCGTACTCACCCCGAGACACTCGCTCCCGCCTCACCACCGCCGTCCCCCTCTGGCCGGGTCTGAGGGGGTTTGGGGTGTTTTGCAGCTTTTTTTTTAACTTTCAGCCGGTGCACCCACTTGGAGCACGGAGGGGCGGCGAGCGGGGGCGGTGCGGCTGCGCGCCTCCCTCCGCCCCGCCGCGGGGACGGGGGAAGGGCCCGGCTCTGCCCGGGGTCCCTCAGGCCTGCACAGGGAAGACGGAGGACTAATCGCCGTGAGAGCGCCATCACTTCCACGCCACCCGACTGGTCTTCTGCAAACCCTCACTGCAAGACCTCACCCAGTTCCCAAAAATAAATCCGCCCCTGACACTGATTCCTACAGCCGTTTGCATAATAGCGCGCTTTGCGGTTTTGTGGTGGTTTTTGCAACAGTGCTGGTTGTAAACTCTCCGTCTCCTGAGGGAGACTTCACACTGACTGCACGAGGCCAGGGGGCAGTCAGAAAGAGAAATGCGTCACGGCAGCTGGGAAGCTGCGAGGAGCTGAGAGAGCCGGCCCGCGCTCGCCCAGGGGACGCATCCCTCGTCCCTCTGGCGCGGAGCTGCGGCAGGCGGCCCGCATCTGGGATCCTGCCTTGTTTCCAGCCTCGCCGAGGCTTCCCTGCCGGGCCCTGTGTACCGACCGGGGGAACGGTCCTGTCTGCCCTCTCGGGGCTTCCTGAAGCTGGGAAACACGTTGTGCACCTCCTACTCTTTGTAGATGTTTACTGCAAAAGCCTGGTTCTGCAAGGTCAGCTCAGTACTTACCCACCGGATACAGACTTAGGAACCACCCATTCTTGTATATGTCATTCTTATATCCCATACACACACATTTGTATTAACACAGAAATACCTGATACCTATACGCTTCTCCATAGGTACTTATATTTATATAGAAACACTTGAAAGTGAGGTATCTGCTGTTTCTAACGGCAAGCAGGGGTGGTTGCAAGGAAGGGGCTGATTACTTGAGGAAGCGGAGGGAAGAAGAATTTCAGAGGAGGCAGAGGAGACACCTGTGCCTCAACTGAAATGCATGACTGATCAAAACTGCAGAAATGTTATGCGCACAGCCCATCTCCTTATTCTGGGTGTGTAATGCCGGCAGCCCTCCTGAGGGGATCTTTAGAAAGGCACCCAGCAGGTAACCTGAATCCAGCCCTCTGCAGCAGGGCCCATGAGTCTAGAGTCATGCTGGCTCTGTTCCCTTTCCACTACAGCTTATTCTTGCAGTAGCCCCTTTGGAGCAACACCCACTTCTTACTGCACCAGAGAGCCCCAATTTCTCTCTAAACTACCAGTCTCCTCCTGAGATGAAAACTATCAACTGACATTACAATGCTGGGACATACAGATTTATTTATACTGCAGTCTTTGTTTAGTGATTAATCTTAGTTCTTGTCCTATTTGTTGCTTCCTCCCAAAGGTTTTAGCTGTTGGAGTTGGATTTTTAAGTAGAAGCTTTCAGGCTGGGTTTTAGTATTATCTTTGAAGTTGAATATTATCTTGAAGTGTTTACAGATATTTGACCTGAACATGAAGGATCCAAACTCACTTTTAGTCTGAGGGATGCAGCAAGAATCTCCAAGTATTATTTTGCAAAGCCGATTCATGCGAAAGCAGAATCCTGCTTTTGCAGGCCTAATTCAGAATACCTAGAGTCTGTGAGGACTGAGGTTATCAGGGCACAGTAAGTGTGTCGTTCAGTAAATTAAATTGAGTGGCTGGAAATGGAGCAGAGACCCAGTATATGTTGTGGAAGGACTTGCTGTGATCCCACTGCATTTCTAGTCCATAATTTTAAACTTAGTTACATTCCTCGTTTTCACATTTCCTCAGCTGGCGGACTCCTAAATTGCTCTCACAAGGACAAAACTTAATTGCAAAATGCTTCAGCTTCCTTCAACCATCAGGCTTCCTTCAATCCATCAGGCTTGATTTTTCCCAGTTACTGTCCCTCAAACCTTTTGAAGAAGTCCACAGACACAATAACCCACACTTTCAGACTGAAAATACAGAAGTGAGTCCTGAGGGATAGCTGTATGATCTGCCGTCTGTCCGATGCCACACGCAAGCTGTTCTTGGACCAGCTCAATCCAGTGACTGGCATCAGAGGAACTCACTTTTGTTTCTTGTCCTGTTATGCCACTCTGAGGAAATAAGCTCTTATTGCAGGATCTGGTTCGGCTGTAATCCTCGTTAAATAGCTGGTAAAGATAAGCATAAGCATAAGCAATGGCAGAGCCAAATCATCATATAGGAATTCTGGATGCAAATGACCAAAAGAACACAATTGTTGCTCAAATAGGAGAGCTAATAAACCAGATTTCTTAAAGATCTGCGTTTCATGGTGCCCCCTGTCCATGGAGCGCTGCTGGTATCTAACAAACCTGCAATGCAACTTGTCTTTCCATGGGTCAGGAACAACAGCTTTTCTTTCTGCTGTGTCTCTTACAAACGGGATTTACTGCGTTTGAGGTTTCTGTCATTCATATGTACACATTTCCTCTGATCTGTTTTTAATACACTTTGTTTCTTTTTATGCGTGTCTTTGTTCCTTCTCTCTTTTTTATTATTCTGCACTTTAGAACATTTTTCTTTCTCTTAGGTCCTGCTGGATATCCTCTCTGTCTTTAGATATGCCCATTCCCTTTCTGTTGTATTCATAGTCCTGTTATTCAAAGTAGCCTTTTCAGTAGATTTCTCTGTTTTTTATCTTCCATTACATTAGTATAGTCTGTATTACTGCAACACCCAGAAGCAGCAACCACACTATGCACTCCAAAGAGTCACTGCACAAACATCCTGGCAGGAACAAATGAAGTCCTCAGAATAAAACAGGGCAGAAAAGGCAGGGAGACAAGGAAAGCACAGAGCTCAAGTGACTTCCCAAAGGAGACAAAGCTGCTCATTGACACAAGAACCACCTGTGGGCCTGATTCTTCCTTGGGCTGAACCTTGTGTCTCAATTTGCAGCTGTGCATTTATACTCCTTCATTGTCACTGTAGCACCATTCTTCTTTCCATAAAATCACTGTAAAACACATGAAACACACAGCAGCTCAAAATTGAAGACTTTAACCATATCCACCACATATGGAATGATTTCCCACCTCCCTGAGAATACAGTACAGATGCAGATGTACACACAGCCCTTGCTACTGCACATGCTCCGCCTTTCTTTAATTCTCTCCGTGCTAATGCATCTCAAAATGCCCCATATTACAAACCTCTACACTGCATCAGCTGCCCTCTCCGATGACTGTCCTCAGTTACTTTGTCCTGCTGACCAACAGCACATCAGGGGATCACAGAATCGTTTAGGTTGGAAAAGGCCTCTGAGATCATCCATTTTGTCAGCTAGACCACAGCCCAGTCTACCTTGGGTAGTACATTTCAATGTCTAATCACCTTTTCTGGGAAGGAATTCCTCCTCATATCCACCCTGAACCTCTCCTGGTGCAGTATGAGACTGTGTCCTGCCACTGGCTGCCTGGGAGCAGGGGCCAATTCCCACCTGGCTACAGCCTCCTTTGAGGTAATTGAAGAGTGGTACGGTCACCCCTGAGCCTCCTTTTCTCCAGGCTAAACGCCCCCAGCTCCTGCTGGGTCTACTGCCGTCTCCAATTTCTCCCACTCATTAAAGGCGGCTGTTTCAAAACCTTCTCCAGTTTCACCTTTCTGCAGAGGCCGACTTCCTCTGCCTTGTCCTATCAGATCGTCTGAACCTAATATGGCGCCAGACGATCTTTTCCCTCCCCGGTGTGAGCTCCCCCGTGAGGAAGCCCGGCGGGCGCAGGGAAGGAAGGCAGGCACCGTCCCGGCCCGCCGCCGCGGCGCGGGATGCGCCACACGCGCCCTCCGCGCCAGGGGCGGCGCTGTCGAGCCGCGCCGCCGCTCCGCCCCCCCGCTCCGCCCCCGCCTTTGTGGTGCAGCCGGGTCCCGGAAGCGGCGGCGAAGCGATGGCGGCGGACGGGAGGGCGGCGGCGGTGGAGCTGCCACCGGAGGGGGATGTGGAAGGCGGCAGCAGCGAACCGGAGGGTGGCTTCGGGCAGCTGCTGGAGGAGGAGGAGGATGGGGAAGATGCCGGCTACGTGCTGTACAGGTACGGCGGCGCGGGGCCTGGCCGGACCGGACCCTCGGGTCGCGGCACGGCACGGCACGGCCCGGGATGGGGGGCACGGCACGGAGCTGGGGTCGGAGGAGCTTCTGGGAGGAGCAGGGACGCCTTTAACTAGATCGGGCTGCCCAAGGCTTTATCCAACATGGCTTTCAACGCTGCCAGAGCATACACAGCTTCGCTGGGCAGCCTGGTCCAGTGTCTCGCCACCTTTACAGTCAAAGAATTTCTTCCCAATGTCTAACCTGAATTTCCCCTCTCTCAGTTTGTACCTATTACTCCTTGTCCTGTCATGACAGTTTCTGACGGAAAATCCCTCTCCATTTTCTCTGTAGGTCTCCTTTAGATACTGGAAGGTCTTTAGATACTCTGAGGTCTTCACACGGCCTTCTCTTCTCTTCCCTTCCCTTCCCTTCCCTTCCCTTCCCTTCCCTTCCCTTCCCTTCCCAGCCCCTTTCTGTTTGTAAGGGTGGTCCAGTCCTCTTTTCAGCATCGTGGCTCTGCTCCAACACTTCCATGTCCTTCTTATGTTAGGGACACCTTTATGTATTTATATGCTGGTCTGTGTTACAGACAATAATGTAGCTAAAATAGTAGGATCTGTTCAGAGCAAGGATGTGTTATTGGACACAGGTTTGTGCGTGTCATGGTTTGAGTAGCATTTTGTGCTTTTTAGAAGCGTTGAAAACACAAAACCATGTATTTACAGGGACAGGAAGGAATGGGCTGATCTTGAACCTGTTCCTCAAAATGATGGGCCAAATCCTGTTGTTCAGATCATCTACAGTGAAAAATGTAAGTCTTAAATATATTCTGTCTTTAACCATTGTTGAAACAAGACTTCATGTTTTGGATAACATTTTCTAGAGTGATACTGTGAAGAAATTAATTAATTAATTACGGTGTTACAGTGCTTGTGTGTGGTGTTTTCACTAAGCATCTTTGAAGCTGAATCTTCACTTGAGATGTTAATAGCCAGGATTCTCCTTTAGAATCCTATGGCTTAAGAGGTAATACAGCAGACAGTGTGGTTCGTGTCTCAAGGCATTTCCAGCCCACAAATGGAAACAAAACATGAAGTTCTTGCAGCTGAAGTAGTGTGAGTAAGCAGCACAGACTTTTTATGATTGTTTTAGCTATTATTCTGATGGTGTGTTTCTGTCACACTTGTGCAGCTCTGTGTGTGCTAATATCCTGCACAGGTCTCAGTGGAAAATGCTTTCCTGTCAACAGGTATGATTAGTTTTGCAGACGTGTATTTAGAGCACAGAAAATAGGAAGCAATTTCAGAGGATTATTAACCTTACCCCCTATTCAGGCCATTGGATAAGATGCTATTCTCTGTTTAGTCCGAGATGTGTATGATTACTTCCGGGCTGTTCTGCAGCGGGACGAGAGAAGTGAAAGAGCTTTCAAGTTAACAGCAGATGCCATTGAGTTAAATGCTGCAAACTACACAGTATGGTATGTAGTAATCTTGGAATTATTTCTGTGGTCACTTGACTGCCTACCTTCTAAGTCTTTAATGTTTTGTTCGTTGAATTAGGGCATGCCTAGTTGAATTTACACAGAGGAGAAAAGTAGTTTTGCAGCGAGCTTCCAAAGAAAGCCTTTGTTCAGTATTTCCCGTGCCTCATTTTAAATCAGTGGTTTTCATTCATTTGGCTCTAAGGGTATATCAGTCAAGGTCAGGGTTAGCCACAAAAAGGACTTTGCTGTTTAAAATTAGATTACTTACCTGATGATGTGTCCATGGCACAATGCTGAAGATGCTCTCAGGTGACTTTGAGAAGAGGCATAAAAACATGACGGCAAAGAATTTATGTGTTTACTACTAACAATAAACTGCTAATACTTTGTGCGTTTTAAAAGATCTGTCAAGTTAGGTAATAAGTAAACAGTGAATTTCTGATACTCAGAGTAGGGCCTTTTACAAGCTGACAAGTACTCCTTGTCTTCATTCCAGTAATTTCCATAAAATCAGAAAGTTTGCGTTGTTTCAAGCACAGAAGTCATCGTTTCTGTGACAGAAAACCCTATCATGGGTACAGGTTAATTTGAACATCTTAGATAATGTACTGTCATATTCTATATAATTCATATATATATATATTCATATATATAATATATAATTCATATATACATATATATTCATATAATCCAGTCATATTCTAGTTCTCTGCTGTTCAATAATTGAGTGCACTTTAACAGAACTAGATATGTGGTTAAGGATTTTGCATTAGTTTTAGCTTTTTGCACTGTTTTTAGCTCAATGTCTTTTACAAGAACTGTGAACAAAGGTGATTCTCTGTGAATTTTAGGAAAGTCCTTTTGCAGTGTTCAAATGCTTGACTTTTATACAGGCATTTCCGGAGAGTCCTCCTGCAGTCTTTGGGAAAGGATCTCCATGAGGAACTTAAGTACATTACAGCTATCATTGAAGATCAGCCAAAGAACTACCAAGTCTGGTAAAATCATGCTTTCTTTTCTGTTCTTAATGTTTTTGCAGATAATGTTTGTTTTGTAAATTGTCCACTTGTGGTGGAGGAGTTAAATGGAGTTGCATCATGTCAAAGCTCCTTTCAGATGTTTGTTCTAAGCATACAATTATGACATGCTAAGCTAAGATGTTGTTTTCTTGTTAATTTCAATTTTTAGACTGCCAAAATAAGTCTGACTGGTTAAAAAAAAACAAAAAGAGAGACTTGTGAAAAGGTAATTGAGAACACACATAGAAATTAGTATTTTTTTTATTTATTGTGTTCTGGAGTTTATCTGCCTGTTCTTGGGTTTTTTCCAAAATTAATGGGACTAGGCAAAAGAGCAGTATTGTTATTGCTAGAGAAATTATGTAGTACTAGGAAACTTTACTCTGCTGAATACTTTGACCATGAGTGTGAAAGTATGTTGCTTCAGGTGAACATTACTTGTCTAAAATGAGATGATTGGCCATTGTGTAGATGTGTTTAGAATTTTTTAAAACATAAATATGCATCTGGCATTTCTCAGAGCCAAGTGAAATGTTCTGGTATGCTTAATTTGAAGTATTTAACTAGTGGGTTTTTTTCCTAAGTGGTGCACTTGCTATAAGCTGCTATTATATAGAACTCACACTCACCAAAAAAAATTTAGACTTTGTTCCTCTCGTCATTAGGCATCACAGACGGGTGCTGGTTGAGTGGCTGCAGGATCCATCCCGAGAGCTTGAGTTCATAGCTGACATTCTTAACCAAGATGCCAAAAATTACCATGCCTGGCAACACAGACAATGGGTTATTCAGGTATTGTATCCACAGAACTCTTGATTCTTTAAATAAACTGCATTTTAAATGTGTAGCAGAGGTTAGCTGTAAACTTGCCTTTTAGGAAATTAGTTAAAGGAATTGGACTGTTGTCTACTTACTTATTTAATTATGAGCTAATACCATTGTGTACCACTGGGTAGTGTAGCATGTTCCTAGTTCACCCGTACTTTTTTTTAAACTTTCTGTTGATTTCCTAAAAAAAAGGTTGTATCTGATGTTCAGGCAACTTAAGAACAAGAATGTATTTAAAAAAATAAAAACTTTTGATTGTGGTATTCTCTCTTCCTTCCCTTTCTGTAGGAGTTCAAATTATGGGACAATGAACTGGACTACGTAGACCAGCTTCTGAGAGAAGATGTGAGAAACAACTCTGTTTGGAACCAACGGCACTTTGTCATTTTCAACACCACTGGCTATGATGACCCAGCAGTCCTAGACAGAGAAGTCCGGTTAGTAATGCTATTCAAGCTCATATTAAACAGTCTCCATTACATGAAAGCAAAGGAATACTTCACAGTCCCCATGGGCTTTGTTTCCTGATTTTTGTTCACTTCGGGGACTAACACTCATGGTTAGCAGATAAAGTGTCAGACTGAAGCAAGCTCTGCATTCCCTGGGCAAACTACTATCATGAATCGGTTTTCCTGACCTGCTGTTTATTGTGCAAACAAAACTTTGGGGTTTATGGTGAACTAGTTCTAGTCGGACAAGCTGCAGAAGATCTGCGACACTGCTGTGCTGTTCATTAGTATTCTACTCCTAGAAGGTGTGGAAATAGGCACTCTTCAGCTCTGGTGCCTGGAGCACCTCCGCCCTCTTCCTTCTTCCCTGACCCTAGTGTCTGCAGCAAATAAAACTGTGCAGCCACCTTTGTTTTTTCTCTTAAATATGTTACCACAGAGGGGTTACCATGCTTTCTAATAGGCCCAGCCTTGGCCAGTAGCCGTCCTTGGAGCCATCAGGGACTGGCTTTGATGGACATGGAAGAAGCTTCTGGCAGCTTCTCACAGAAGCCACCCCTGTAGCCGTGGCCCCAGTACCAAAAAACAGGCCATGCAAACCCAATACAGTGACATGGATTGTAGGTAGAGGAGTTGTCTTTTGTGAGGAATTTGACGCAGCTAGCAAAAGAAAGCTTTCAGGAGTATGTAGCTGGCACAAAGAGAACTGCCTGTGTGAGATGGCTAGTTTCCAGGAAAGAGTTTTGTGCTCACTGTTTCTAGTTGCATGTTTGTAACTGAAGACAAACTGGGCTCCTTGACATATTTTACATGGTGGTAAGAGAAGCCTCTTTGTACAGTTTTCATGTCTCAGACTGCTGATTAGGGTTGATGGTTATGAGAAGATATTTGTCAAAAGTGAAGAAGTAATTAAGGTACTGCAATTTTTCATAGAGTTATTTTTCAAAAGAAAGACTGAATCTCTGAATCCTTTGGTACATTATTCCTAGAGGGTCCCAGCCCTCACCATCTTCCATGGTTGACTTTGCAACCTTCTAGAAAGTTTTACCTCTCTTCCACTTTATAACCTTCCTGTAAATCAGTGAATCTGATTACTGATTACTTGGATATCGTCAACTTTTCATCTCCAGAGTTTAGAGTGGACATCCTATCCTGATCTTCTCAAGATAATTTGGTACCATCTTAAGAACCAGACTGGTTAAGATTAAGACTTCCCAGATGTCATTATAGAACTGCTGGTTGGTTTATAAACTCGTTCTTTGTCATAGTGACTGCAAAATGTTTAAAAACAGTTACAGTTGTGGGTATTTTTTTTAGTACTCCTGCCAGAAGATAAATATGCTTTGTGTAGATAAAATGTGGTGTATCAGAGGTGCCTTTTGTTTTTACAGCAGTTGTCTCACTGCTGCTTTCACAGAAATGCTGCAGAAGGCTGTGTGAGCTGAAAGCTCAAGCTCTGTCTTTCTATGGGTTTGCCTGAGTGCAGCCTGATGAAAAAGTTCTGCAAATAGGTACATAACATACCACTTGCAATCATATTAACAGAGCTCAGTCACTGGCCATTTTCAGCCCCTTACCATTTCTGAGCATCAAGATATAAGTTATTCCTTTAGCATACCAGGAGAGTGTATTGTGTTGTTTGCTCAGTGTTTTTGCTAATAATTTTGAGAACTGATACATTATTTTATAAGTTTCAGCAAATTGATAGTGTCTGCCTCTTTGAGACTCCTGGTGATTATATTGTGAGCCATTTTTGATCTACCCAGGTGAGATGATCTGCAAAAAGAGTGAAGTATAGGCTAGAGAGATACAATTTGTAAGATTCTGAGCACATTCAGGTAATTTCTGACTGCATTGTTATCAGTTGCATTCATGACCTATTACCTTTTTCTTGCAGGTACACTCTTGAGATGATCAGAGCAGTGCCACATAATGAGAGTGCTTGGAACTACTTAAAAGGGTAAGGTGTATTTCTCCATGAGGCAAAGAATCTGTGCAAGGTGTCTGATGCCTACTTCTTAATTGAAAAGAACTTTTTGCTTTTTGTTCTGGTGTAGTGTGCTTAAGCAGGCAGGCAAATACTGTCACAAAGGGTTATTATATTCAAACCTAATTTCTCTGCAACTTTTCGCTAAGCTTCTCGCCCTATAGTTCTTGCGGAAGGACTACAGGTACTTCTCATGCTTTTAAAATCTTGACCTGTAATGTTACTGTGTTGAAAAGCATAGATAGGAAATAACTAACATTCTTTCAGTCAAATTCCTGTACAGTTGATCAAAAACTATAGCAGCTTACTACAACATGAGGCTACACTAGTGCTGCATGCTGCTTACTTTCTGACTTACTTGCATTTGCAGCCTGATTTCAAATCTAATCTCCATGTAAAGGAATCATAACAAAAATGCAGTTATTGACACCAGATTTCCCCTTGTGTGTAAAGCCTATTAACCTTTCTTCTAGGATTCTACAGGATCGTGGTCTTTCTAAATATCCAAATCTGCTGGAGGAACTGTTGAATTTACAGCCCAGTCACAGTTCACCCTATCTGATTGCCTTTCTTGTGGACATATATGAAGATATGCTAGAAAACCAGTGCGATAACAAGGAAGAAACGTTGAACAAGGCGTTGGAGGTACGGTTTTTCTTCTCAGGGATGCTGCCTATTCCTGTCTGGTTTTATAGCTTGACAAAATGAGATTGATTTTCATAAATAAAACATGTTAGTTGTTAATCACGAGAGGTCTATGAAGAGTTTAACACAGAAACCAGACAATCACAAGGATCTCATCAATTTATATATAAATAATAACTAGCCAGTTATGAAATTACTCTTAAATTTTCTTCATTTGGTGGTGAAGGAAGGTCTCTGATACTCCCTGCAGAAGAAGGAAGATGTTTGAACAGTTGAGGAGTTTTCATTGTCTGCTTTCTAGCATTAACTCACTCTCTGTAGGTTAATGAATTTATCTCAGAATATCCATGTCCAAACATCCTCAACTGAGCTTCCTTGGCCCCTCTTAGCTCTTTCTAAGAAAGCTGACAGAATTAGCTTATGGCTGGCAGGCACTGTAAACAGTAAGAAATGTCAGGCACCACTTCCTACAGAGCACTAATTACTTCTGGCATTGTTGTGTATCTCCCAGAGCTTCATACTTGGCTGTTCCTTGGTGCAGTTTGTAATGTAGTTTTTACGAGAACACTTTCCATTCACTGTGGGACTGACTGGAACTTGATGCTATTAGATCTGCAGTTTTGCCTGGAGCTTCTGTGTTCCAGCATTGTTCTTTCTCAGCATTTTTCCATTGTTGTGTTCCAGGACCAGATTGTAAACAAGTGCAGTTGGCCCCTTTATACTATTTCATTGATTTTGACTTCTCTATTTAGACATCAAAGCTCTTAATTTTTTAACTCCATTTCACTGAGTAAGACAATGTCATCTGCATGATAAAAAGGAATATACTAAAACATTTGTAGTGTTCAGACTGTGTAAAATTTACACCGCTTGTCCTGTAAGTAGTATTGACTTCTGCTCTGCTGCTTACCAGATCAAAATTTTTAAAAAAACCTAAACATGTAGAAGTATCTGCACCGACTCTTAATGTTGCATGAGAGAAGGTTACTGACTTGCATGGAGAACCTTTTTGGGACAGTCTGATAAGGAAAAACACAGAAATAAAAGATCTCTTGTCAGTCCATCAAGAGTACTGAAGATTCAAGAGCAGGATGGTCTTCCAGTGTTTGGAATTAAGTGGCCTGTTGGATGACTAAAATACATTCGAGGCTCTCAGGAAATATAGTATGCTCTAGTACGGGGTGCATTAGGCTGGCATGGATGATGAGTGGTAGGCATGGAAATGAGTCCAGGGGAGCTCCTACAACTGAAATGGACCTGGAAGTGTCAGATTGGTTGGCTGCCAACTGGGGTTGTCATCAGTTTGATGTCATTAAACAGTTACAAATCCCATTAATAAAACAAATGTTGCAGAGGAACATATTTCTAGCACTATGTGAAAGACATGTTGTATGCCTTTTGTAATTAAGGATTCTGTACGCTTTTTGGTTTATACTCTAGTCTCTTGTTTTTCTTTCATAGTTGTGTGAAATTCTGGCTAAAGAAAAAGACACCATCCGAAAAGAGTACTGGAGATACATTGGAAGGTCCCTTAAGAGCAAGCACAGTTCAGGCACCGAACAGAGCAGCACAGTGACGGATAAAGAGCAGTAATTGAAGATGGAAGAAGACAGTGTTAAGCCCTCAAACTGTTCTAAATCTGTACTAAGTAGGGTCATCAACAAGTTCAAAGTCCAGTTGTAGGTATTGCAATGGAAAAGGAATGTAGACTGCTGTATAGTCCTGAGTTGCTGCTGCTACTGTTGATGGCTCTAGCTGCAGTCAAGAAATGTATTAAGACTTAATGAAATGTACCAGGTAAAGGTTTTAGTTTCTAACTAAAAATACATAAATATATACCTATTACATTGACAGTACTCAGTTAATGGTTTGCCTTGATCTTAGAGGTTTTTTCCAACATAAGTTACTCTACAACTCTGTGAAGCACTAAAACCATGTCTTATGTTGTGGTTTACCCACTTGTGGTTCCTAACACTGTCTCATGACTTTGCTGCAGTAGTGACTGCAGGTAACTTAACTATAGGGGATATAGAGTAACCTGGTTAGTGCAAGTAGGCACTGCAGCTGTCACCTCATGTGGGAGCAGCTGTGTAACACCGTCAGCCTACGCTGTTGTATGCAACTAATGCCAAGTGTAATTTTGTAATAAAAATAGATAACTTAGAACATTTGTCTGATTTTTTTAATGTGTTTCTTTTGGTCCTTGTAAATGCATAGTTTGTTTTTTTCAGATGCTAATAGAGGTAAAATATCCCCTTGTATAAGTATTGGATTCTGTTGCATTGCAATGTCTTTTGCACTGGAGTATTCTTATCCCAGAAACTTTCAGTACACCTGATATATTCAGTGGAGCCCTGAATTCTTCCCTGCACAGACAGGAAAAATTATTTGAGGATCCTGAGGGGATCCTGGGGGCGGTGTATACCTGCACCAGAAAAATGCATCTACCCTGTTTTCAGCAAATGGTTATTGTAAACTGTGTTCTTATGGAGTGTTTGTCTGATATGAAATATTTTACTGGAAACAATCATAGAGGGAACAAACAAATGCTCGTATTTATTCCATAATATGCAGTATTTTTGACACTAAATATTAAAAGGTGTTAACTGTGATTAAACAATAGTGGAGATTATTTTTTAACACTTGAAATTCTTTAATTCAATGCACTCTTGAAATTCAAAACAACTCACAGGGAGTGGAATTGATATACGAAAGCTATGTAATTTTGTAGTTGTTTTGCTGCTTTCTCAGCAGTAGAGAAAACATTTTTGAAGTGACAAATGAACATTCAACACAGACATGGACTTCAAACTTTTGGAGATTGGTTAACCTGGGGGAAGCTCAGAAAGATGAAATGGTCAAATACAATCCTTTAAATAAATGTCATCAATGAAGAGGAAACAGAATTTTCCCTCTGCATATGATGTTAATACTTTCCTGTATCTTTCACAAAATTCAGAGGACACTTGGAATAAAGCAGAGTATTCTTTATAGACACTAGCATAAATTTCAGCAATAAGTCATCACAAGGTAAGATTGATGAAGAGTGTTCCTCCGGGACAGTGTATTTTGGGATGTGGTCTCAGTTACTTGTGGGCTGAGGCAAGAGCTTAGATTTAGCCGTATAGACTTCCTAGTGGCAAGAATAGGTAGGATTCCTCTGACAAAATCTTTTTGGGGATATGGTCAACCTATGGCCTTCTCATTCTTGAAAATTATAAGTAATGAATAAGATTCTAGCAGTTGATAGGGTTTTATACTGGTTATGCAAGCATAGTGGTACATGGAAAAATAATACTGCTTCTGAGCTCCACTTACCAATAAATAATCAAATACATATTTTTAATGGAAAAAAATACCTAGTCTTATGTAGAACAAACATGTAACCGAACAAATAATGTAAATCCTAAGAAAAAAATGTGCTGGACCCTGAAGTTCTCCTTAAACAACAGGAATCAAAAAACGTCACTGTCGAAACAGAAGTGTTCTTTCTTTCAAATTTTTATATTTACTGTTACTTGAATTGCAAGAAAACTTCCAAATTTTCTTGCAAAGGCACCTCAGTTTTCTGTTGGTCAACCACACACAAAAATACTGAGCTGTCAGAGCTGGAAAAGTGATGGCTGCCCAGCCAGGTTGCAAGTGAAGCCACCAAACTCTCGGGTTCCCTCTCGTCGGGATGACCCAGAGCCCGCCCGATGGTTGAAGAAAGAGTTGGGGTTCTTTGTTTGTGGTTCTCAAGGTCGTTTATTGTTGCTTATCTAAGATGTTTTTTCTCCAGCCTGCCACAGGCCTGTCTGGCAGGTCGGTTGGAGGCACGCCACACCCCTCCCGGGTTGGTGCTGTCTTTTATACTAAAAACTACATATACTTTGTTTACAGTTATTTTCCAATACCTATCACCTATGTTAGACAGTGACTTTCTACTCTAAACCAGTCTGTGTGCCAGCATCATCCTCAACATGGATGCCAGGGAGAAGAAAGAAGGAGGACAGGGCACGCCCAAATTCCTCCATCTTGGACCTCCTGACCCCCATGTACAGAATCCCAAACCCCTCTGTACAAGGTTCTAAACCCCCCTGTACATGGTTCCAAAATTTTCCCTTCACCCCGTGCTTACTACTACTATGCTACTTAGACTTTTGTGACCTGTGACTCTTCATACAAGGTTGGTAATTTCTCCCAGGGGCTAAGATTGAATTCCCAAGTGTTTTTGGCCTTCTGCCAGGGCTCGTCAGCCCCCTGGCAGGGGCTCAAGCCATCCAGGTCACCCAGAGGGGTGTCCTGGGTTCTGACACCAAACCTTGAATTTTAATGCATCTGAGACAAAATGTTTCTGGTGGAAGAAGGAGCTTGACAAAATGTATGACCTATAGAGAGAAGGGTCTTAGGAATAGGAAGTTAGAGATGATTTTAACCTGTAGGCGCTTGTACTGACTACCTTTGATCAGGGCAAACATTGCAGTTATTTGTCCCAATAGGTTCATCTGTGCAAGAAAATTTACTGTTGTTATTATTGTGTGTAATGATGTGACTCTTGTGTACAATTTTATTATTGAAGAGCTGTGCCTAAATGGAAAACTACTGATACAACTCTCCCTTGTAAATCAGTGTAACTGGAACATTCAGTGGAGTATGGAGTGTTAGTAAAGTGTGAAATCATATCCTATGTTTGCGTTCATCAGAAGCTGATAGTCTTGCCTTGGTGTAGCCCTGTCTTAATAAGCCATTATTGACTTCCACCTTTTTATCTTTGCAACTTAGGTGATAAAACAGTGTACAAGTCCATCCTAATTAGCGCTGCTAGCACAATGTGCTTCTATCAGATGCTGTCTGGTTGTGCTGAGGCAGATTAGGAGTGTGCTGTTCAGCTGGACCTCCTGTAGTGGCAATATTCTCCAATAAAGAAGGAGGGAGGTTTCTAATCACTCCCTCTACATGAAACACTTTCATCGAAGTGCTAGCTGCCAATTCATGCAGTGCCATGGTGATGAGGGACTTTACAGAGAGATAGGACACCCAAAACTGAGGCTGAACACACTTATTTAGGTTTCTCTAAGTATGTACCATGATGAGCTACCAGAAACTTCACCAAATTTAGCTTAAAACCCCACCTCAGGATGCTTTTGATGCCTACATCATATGTTTAATGAAACCACTTGGGGCTAGGACTGTGCTCCACGAGGTGCGTCACCATCACTGTCTCTGAAGAAGCACTGAAAACCTGCACAGGATTTCAGCCTTGGGGAATTAGAATAGTTCCTCTATCCCGTCGCCCCGCCGAGAAGGTGGACACCGGCCACTAGATGACACTGTGACACGCACCCCCAAGCCCATCGGCGCCGCTGATGCGCAGGAAAAGCGGCGTCACCACCTCCTCCGTGCATCACTACTTTCACACTGCTAATTAAACACGGACGAGCAGCTGCTTGGTAATTCAATACATAGTTCCACATAAGCATCAAGCACAAGTATTCTGGGAGGGGCTAAATGGTCATCTTCATGTTGGTGTTAATTGGAGAGCAATGTCTCGTTAACAGAAATCATGTTTCCTCTGACACTGGACACCTTGTACAGATTTGGACTCCTCTGTTTAGTCCTGGTGTTCTAAAAATAATGCTGTGACTAAACCACTCTGTTCAGAACTTGGGGTTTGTGGCCCATTTACATCTTTTGGAGACATGCCTCCAATCACAAGCTGGAAAGTTTTGGTCCCCTAGAGCTAGCCTTGTTATGATAAATTTCTCTGGTCCCTCTGTAATGAAATGCTGGCCATTGCTGGTTGTTTCTGGGAATATAGATTGAAGGACAAGATGACCTACTCCTGCTTCTTGGAACTCAGGGGAGGACTTGGGCCAAACTGAGGAAGCCTAGCATGCTGTTGCAGATCTGAAAGCGGTTTCCTTGCTTTCTGGTAAGCAGGACTGAAAACTTTGCCTAAAGAAGGTCAAAGACAGACTTCTCATGCACTGGTTTGTCAAAACTGAGTCATATGGGCTGTCACCACAGTGCAGAGATTTTAAGTGAATGAAGAGATGCCCTGTGTCACTTCAGCCAAGCCAACCTGAGCACTCAGAGTGACTCAGGTGCAGCTGCTTATTCTGTGTGTATGCACTGAGCTCCAGGACATGCTGCCATTACCCCCTCCCACAGGCATTATGCTAGCTCTGGTACCTCTGTCCACATCTGAAACAGTTGGGTGACAGGTGTAATGCTGCCATCACAGTACTGCTCATGGGCAGTGATCTTACAACTGCAGAATACATCTTGTTGTGTTTGGGCTTCTCATTCTTTTGGGTTTGTGTTGCTTTAGTTGGGTCTATTTCATTATTTACTTCTTTGGTTTTCTGATGTGTCCTCACTGCTGTCCAAGTCATCTCTCCAACAGATCCAAAACCAGCTGAGTAAGTGCTTGTGCTGCTACAAAGAAGCTTCAGAAGGAGGAAAAGGTAAAAAAAAAAGAACTGTGTATCCTTGCTGTACATTCTTGGTGCTCCCTCTTCTGCCAAAGCCTGCTTACCAGGATAAGAAGAGGGCAGGTAGATAACCTTCTTTTCTTGCCAGGTGTTTGCACACATCTGCCCCTGTTCTAGTTTGCAGACACACAATGAATATGAGTTTTACTCCCAGTTTAACTAAACGACAGTGAGAGCACTCTATCCCTGTATACAATAGCATATGGTGCTCACTGGCTTTGCTGGCTGCCTCCTGCACTAACAGTTTCGCTGCTGTAAAATGAGTCCAAATGACTATTTTCAGGTACCTACAGAGCAGGTGTGGAGGGTTCCTGAGCACTGTTCCAGCACTCTGATATCAGTTGAGTGGTACTGCCAATCATCTTGCTAATTTGTTTGAGGTCTAACCTGCAAAGATCCTGCATTGAGCTCAAGGCTACAATAAAAGGGAGACAGTGTTGAGTATTTACATGGGCAACTGAAAACCAGAAACACCTGGTTTTAGAAACACATTTTCACATTATCAATTTTCAAATTATTCCTTAACTGAAAAATTTAAAACTTGTAAAGTGAGAATAGAAAACTGCTTGGCTTCTGACATTCAGAGGAAAATATGTGAGGAGATATGCCTTAGGCGAGACCTAGTTTACTGCTAGAAGGCATGTCTGGATAAAACCCCAAAAGCTGACGAGATCTATTTGTCATTCAGTG